ATTTTACAACCTGAAAACCCAGTCCGCTCTATGTAAAAAAAGGGGAGAAAGAGAACCCATTGAAATGAGTCAAGAACCTGGTGGTTCACCTCAAAATTTGGTATTTATTTTTTACCTTTTTAATTGTTTTATAACAGGTTTGACCCTTGATTCTTTATCTTTTTCAGGTCGATGCCGAGTGGTTTTTAATACATGGATTATTTCACGTGTCCAGCTAAGTTTTTCTGTAAGATGATTGATTATTCGGGGAGTGTTACAGCATTATTTCACACATCCAATTCATTTAATGTAAGCGTGGCTGTGAAAACACCAAGATTAGGACGAATGGGATGACATCATAAGTCATGGGCACTCGAGATAAACTGCAGAGTCTAGGAATGTGAAGTAAAAAGAGGAAAATTATCTGTTGCCTCTAAACCATTAAAACACCATTTTTTACTGCTTCGACGAGAAATAGAAAATAGACATAACACCTTATGGCTGCAGTTGGGTTCCTTTTGCTGATGCAAAGCTTTATTATATCAGATGGCTCCACCAATTCTCTAATTGGAAAATGAAATCCTGAACCAGTGAAACGTACATTTATCGAAGGTGAAACCTTAATGGTAGTTTGGACAAATTTCCAAAAATAAAAATGAACACTTGTTTTATCATCGGTGTCGACTACATACAGAGATAGAATGATGCTAGAAACCGAAACTCTATAAATATATACTCATTTCAAAATAAGTTAGCAATAATTAAAAGGAAACTTATGGATGCTCAGGAAATACGAAGTTCAAATGTTCATATTTAATCTACCAATAATGCGAGTAAAATATTATTAGGAAAATAAATTATAGTTTTGAATTAAAAAAAAATGATTCATATTTAAAAACTGAAGTTAATTTTCTGTTGGCAAAGAAATTCACTATCGAGTAAATGCCTGAAAGGTTCTATTTTTTGGGAATTCAGTTCCTGACGAAGAAATACATCCCTAGATAGTAGTATAATAGAATTTACCATGGAGCGTATCCATTAAGCTCACAATTTGCTCGACTTCACCGAGTTTCATTACCCGGTAGCACTCTCTCTTCAGCGCCTCAATTGCAGCTCCATCGAAAAGCTGAATCGGATCAATTGCGAGCTTCATAAAACCACTCAAAATCAACTCCACAACACTCTTGACCTTTCCATCATCAAGCATTCTAGTAATGCCGCTCGAAACAGCCTTCGCATTAAGCAGACTCACAAATTCTCTACCTTTCAACCCCGAAACCACCATGATCTCTGCTATCATTAAGAAGTCCTCAAACCTTCCATCCTCTGCCAGCTTCGATGCTAGTTCAGCATAGTACCTCGGGTTCTCTCGATTGTCTCCCCGGACATTGGATAGAAGTGGAGATGTAGTAAATGACTTAGACTTGTGCTTAGGCTTTGGTTTGGTTGTACTAGTGGTGGCGGCTGATGAAGAAGAAGGAAAGTGGTGGTGGTGGTGTCGTCGGCGTGGAGAGGCGGCTGCGGCTGCGGCTGCGGCTGCGGCGGCGGGTACGACGGTGGAAGAGGCAAGGATCGATAATGGATCTCCCATTTCCAGGCCAACTGTTTTCAGTTGGTAATTGCAAAAGCAATTTTATAAGTGGCTCTGTCCGAGATTCTGAGCAAGGATTGAATTTGAAAGGCGGGCGTTTAACGCGACTTCGCTTGGAGCACGTGCACCGGTGTGCCTGGCGAATGG